GGGTAGCTGGAAAACGGAATGAGACACGTTCTCCGGGCACCGATGAACAGTGGGTCCACCGGGAGGTCAAGGATTAGGCTCTAGATACCATGTTGAGAGTAATGGTGAATGGAGAGAACATATTCCTTGTGTATTGCAAAGCACAAGATGTGTTTAAATACAAAGTAGTGGGCCTAGGCCCATAAGATAAAAACTATAAGATAAAAACTATAAGATAAAATTATATCTAACAAACATAATTGGGAAAATTGGAGAGAAATGCTTTAAAATGAGAGCAGAGTAGTAGCGACGGGTAGTGAAGACAGCAGCGACTAATGAGTGTATAGGAGATAAAGGCATCTCAAATACCTGTTATTTTGTGTTGCATTTTGTTGTAATACAACTATATTGTTGTTGATATCAGTGGTTAAAGTGGAATGTTACAGTACCTACACAATTTTTTCTAGTGATATGATCCAGTTTCTATCACATTAGTATCAATGTCCAGTGAGGGTTGGCTCAATTGGAAGGATAGAACTGTGTCAATGCAACTGTCTTGGGTTTTTATTATGCTACTGGTCCTTCATTTATAGGTTTTCCCTAAGCATCACAGTAAACCTTTACTGAGGCTTGTGGCACACTTCGACGTAGCAATGGAGCAGCATTCCCTCCTAAACATTGTACCAACAATGAAAACACCAACATCCAGCTTAAGGGAGAGTTTTACTTGAATGAATGGGCATATCTTAGTCATTTTGTATATCCCCAAGTAAACTAAATTATTAATTTAATATGCGTAAAATTATGCAAACAACCTAATTTGAAATTACAACTACTCAGAAAACTTCTTATTTTTTTCTCATCCTTCTAACTTTGAGAGTCACAAAGTGCTGCCCTCCACCAAGGTTCTCATGTATGCCTGTCATATAGAGCACTCAAACAGGTGGTTCACATACATTCATTTTCAGAGATTTTTACCACCAAAATTCATTTAAGTTATGCTGGAAAAAATTTGGGACAGGTAATCCCCCATTGAATAAAGAACTTACAAAATGAGGTAAATATCCAAGGGTGTTCCCTTTTTGGCTTGATCTTCCACCGAGAGTAGACGTTGATGAGCTTGCCTCAATTCTTTCACCCCATTTGATCCACTGGGTGAGTCAGACTGTTTAGCTCTTTCATTGGATTGAGTTTCAAGAACAGCTATAAGTCTCTTGAGATCACAAGCTGCTTGTTCATAATCTCTAACCATCTCATGTAAGGTGGCTCTTCTTGAAATTGCCTGCAAAATGAGATCAATGAGATTCACAATCCCCACCTTGGCAGATTAGAGTCCAACAGAAAAAGATAAAAAAAAATGATATTGCATAAAACTGAGTAATTCAAATGAAGGTTCTTCCTGTACTCCATATAATTCCTTGTATTTTAATAAGTTAAGCTAGCACCTAGGAAGAAAATTCAAATATGCACTCATTATTTCACCTAATTGAAGGGACTTTAGAAAAGCATACCTTTGCATAATTTCCATCAAGGGCAATAGCCACACTGCAGTCTGCAATGGCATCAGCAATTTGGCCCAAAGCTTGATGAGCTGCAGCACGGTTGCAGAAACATATTGCTACAAAAGGACGTGATTTAATATTGCATGATAAAGCGGCAGTGTAATTCTCTACAGCATCCGCGTACTTTCCCAATTTAAAGTTTTCATTTCCTGCCCTCTGTGGTTAAGAAGAATAATTATGATCAATGACATTAATAGGCATAATACCAGCAGTTACCTGGAAATGATACTACACTACAAATCTGAAAAGTTTTCAAATAAAGAATAAGAAGCTAGCCTACTTATTCTCTTGTATAAAAACCTGAATTAAACAGGACTCAAGAATTAACAATATTATATTGGTCATTAATAATTTCAAAAAGGACACTGAAAGAATTATTTCCATCTTTCCAGTGGTAAAAAGAATTTTCCATCAGAGAACTACTATTACTTCATTAGATGCTTTTCTTATGTTGTATCCATGCTTTCTAGCTCATGGGTCATAGATTAATTCTTACATGGAATACTGGGCAACTAAAACCTGAGATATCAAGATATCGGCATTTGGCTTCAGGCACTAATTTAGGAAGGAGGGCATCTTGAAATTACCTTGTGGTCTAGAAGTTCTCGTATTGTAGAAGCCAATGACAGAAAATCTTCAATGTTATCAATCACACTCCTACACAATAGAAATGATCATAAGGCATCCCAAGCTTTTGAAAAAAGAAAATATATCTCGATTGAAATGGCAAATGAAAAATTAGCCTGCTCAGTAAAAAATTGAATTACTTGTTAGCAACAGACACGGTGTGCTGTAATTTCTCAAGAATATTAAGTGATGCTTCAAGCCTTCCCAAATGAAAGTAACACTTGGCTATCAATGACAACCTCCAAAATTTTACACTTGAGTAACTATCACATAAGGAATTATTGGAATTTTCTGCACTGTTTGCCAAGACAAAATTCTTTTCTGCAAGATGCTGACTCTGTTCACAAAGTTGAATTGCTGCATCATACTTTTGTAGCTGCAAGACATTACAATAAATAAATAGCACTTTTATTATCCACAATACGAAATAATTCAACAAAATAACAGAATAAGAACGCAATAAAGATGAGGGGAGCAAATAATTGTAGTAGAAAATACCAAACACAGAGCCTCTGCTTTCATTTGCAGTAATTTTTCTGAGTATAAACTTATTGACAATGCCTTAGAAACTAGTTCTAAAGCAGTAACAGCTGCATCAGAAGTCCTCTCTTTTAAAAGTCCAGAAGCATTATTTATACACTTGACCACTTCCTGTTAATATGGAGTAAAACTTATTAGACATCTTATAAAAGCATGCACACCTCAAGTGTGAACAAAGATAGAATAGCAGAAATGAAGATTATTTGCTTATTGAAAAACTAATAGCTAAGGTAGTAATAAACTAATAATAACTGATAGTAATATAAAGCTGATAATATTATTGATACAAAGTTTCCAGAAGAAGAAACAATGGTTAACACACAAATTGACAGTGAATAAAAAAATGCATCAAGATAAAATTATCAAGTTCTGTCCACATAAAAGAAATCGTTGAAATACCTGAGCCTTCTGTAAACCTTCAGCTGCTTCTACTATAACCCTCCGATCCAAACAAACAACACTAACTGATTCCATGCACTTATTAAAATACTGCTGAGCATTTTCTACTTCCCCTAACAAAAGGTGACAACTGGAGAGGAAAATCATTTCATTACTTGAGGGGGAGGAAAACAAAATACTTCTATATTTTGTGATTTAAAAGAATGCAATTACAAACAAAGTCCTTACTTAGCAGTTCTCATCTGTGCTTTAAGAAAGGTGGGGTCCAGAGCAGTAGCCATCATGCAATCCTCTAGAGCTTCTCTAATCTTTCCAAGACTCATCCGTGTTGCTGCACGGTTACTATAACACAGCAAAAGAGGCTTAACACAGCATGACCTTTCACTTGAAGGGACAGAATCTATTCCTTGTGTGTAGAAGTCCTCAGCTTTTGAAAGATTCCCATCTTTATAGGCCTGGTTCCCCCTAAATATTTCACATACAAATAAAGAATATAAATCAACACAACACAAATCAAAACACTAATTAATATATATATATATATATATATACATATATATATATATAATTGCGTGTCTCTTTTATGGTCAGCACCTTTGTCTCCACTTGTCACAGGCTGCTGG